TCAAACAAATTTTACTGTTCTGTATTTCGTAAAATTATTTTTTGAATCATATAAATAAATAAATTATGTTATATAAAAAATATCAAAAATAATTTTCGGACCAAGCAAATTTTCTTATTTTTCAGTTTTTATGAAAATCTTGACCCCCAAAAAAAAAAAAGTTTTTATGAAAACAATTAAAAACTGAAAATTTTACCAAACCGTGTGTTGTTCTATTTGTGTGCGACTGTGTGTGTTACGCTTACTGTGAGTTTGGATTTTGGAAAAACCGATCCAACTTTCTCTTTACGTTCATTCATTTCTTTGCTTTTCCTCTTCCTCAAGGCTTACGATCCAATCAAATCGTACTGCTCTCTGCCTCACACACATCGGCGTCTGACTCAGAACGGTGAGAGCTCTGCTCAGTCAAAGCCTAAAGAATTTTGATGAATCTCCGACCAAGCAACGGTAATCTCTCTCTTGAGTTCGGTATTTTGTGGGAAATACTTGCTTGATTTATGTTTATGGGCAAAGTTTTCTGATTTCTTTTCTTTAATTTTTTACGAATCAAAAACTTCAAGAAAGTATTCATTGTAAAATTTTCGGTGCAAAACCCCACAGATCAGAGCCCCAGAACCACAGATCGAATCAACGTCTGGTTTTCCTATCTTTTTTCTTAACTAAGCCGCGACAGATCGGGTTTTCCTCTCTTCTATACCCAGCCTCAGATCGAAAAACCCTACATGTTATTGTCTCTCGCTTCTTGTAATCACCACCAGCTTCTCTCTCTTGGTCAGGATTTTCCCTCTTCCCGCTCTCGTTTTTACAGGCTCATCTCTGTTTCTCCTTCTCTCTCTCTCTCTCACTCGATTCCATCTGTATCTCTTCTTGTCTGTTGGAAGTGTGAATTTGGAGAATTGGGACCAAGTTCTAACTGATGTTGGATGTTTGTTTTTAAATTGCTTGGTATGTTGACAATTTGGGTTTTGCTGTGTCATATGATTGAGACTTGAATGGTAATTTACAGAATTGCTAGTGGCTTTAATTTGTATATTAATCATATTTCATTCACATTCTACTATTGCTTTGCCCTTCTAAAAGTGGGAATTGATTGTGAACCATCTAGCTAACGTTTATTCAGTATTTTGGATGACACAAACAATACGCAAAATGGACATGAAATAACCTAAGGTAATCAGTAAAGCCCTAGACAAGTTTTATTATACAGCATCGAGCTCCACAAGTAAAACAAGGCAAATATCAGCTCTAAAGACTCAAAATATCCCAGGCAACACAATGTTCAACTATGAGAGCATTTTGTATGTTCGTATTATTGTTGTTGTCATTTGTTGCTCAAAGGCCAGCAGGATTCATGTAGCTGACCCAAAAAATGTTGGAATAAGGCTTTATTGAGTTGTTGAGTTATTGTTGTTGTTGGCGTTTGTTTCAAATCCTGTCCCATCAATTTTGCAACAGTGCTTATTGTTCTAAAGTGTTGGAATTTGCTTGAACATTCTAAACTTCATTCTTAGACCTAACATGAAGTGAATAGACCTTAGAATATAAACCTTCAGTTTTTCCCACTTGGTTTTTATGGCCAGTTGTGTGGTTTTTTTTTCTTTACAGTTGATATCTGTTGAGTTGGATTTGTCAAACTCATTTTTGTTAAATAGGTTGTCTAGAGATTTTTATCAACTGTGTATGTGTGTTTTCGATGCCTGTTCTTTGGTAATACATTAACTCCATACATTCGTAGCCATTTATTCTAATACTAGGATTGCTTCACCGCAAGACAACTTAATGCATGAAGGTTGACCAATCTCAAGTCAAGTTAAAAGTCGGGATGGGACAGATTGGTAGTTAACTGGTGTATATGGACCTAATAACCCGAGGATTAGGATGGAGTTATGATAAGAGTTGACCGATTTGTTTGGTCTTTGTAGTCCTCGTTGTTGTGTAGTAGGAGATATTAATGTCATTTGATATCCTTTGGGAAAATTGAATGGTGGGAGAATTACTCCTGGGTATNAGTGCTTATTGTTCTAAAGTGTTGGAATTTGCTTGAACATTCTAAACTTCATTCTTAGACCTAACATGAAGTGAATAGACCTTAGAATATAAACCTTCAGTTTTTCCCACTTGGTTTTTATGGCCAGTTGTGTGGTTTTTTTTTCTTTACAGTTGATATCTGTTGAGTTGGATTTGTCAAACTCATTTTTGTTAAATAGGTTGTCTAGAGATTTTTATCAACTGTGTATGTGTGTTTTCGATGCCTGTTCTTTGGTAATACATTAACTCCATACATTCGTAGCCATTTATTCTAATACTAGGATTGCTTCACCGCAAGACAACTTAATGCATGAAGGTTGACCAATCTCAAGTCAAGTTAAAAGTCGGGATGGGACAGATTGGTAGTTAACTGGTGTATATGGACCTAATAACCCGAGGATTAGGATGGAGTTATGATAAGAGTTGACCGATTTGTTTGGTCTTTGTAGTCCTCGTTGTGTAGTAGGAGATATTAATGTCATTTGATATCCTTTGGGAAAATTGAATGGTGGGAGAATTACTCAGAGTGTGAGGGATTTTGATTTTTTTATTAGGGAAACTGTACTTAGAGATCCTCCTTTGGCTAATGGGTTTTCACATAATCCAATTTTAGGAGTGGGTTTGTATGTAAAAGTTTGGATAGATTTCTATTTTAGCAGGGTGGGAAGAGTGATTTTTGGGGGCTAGACAATAGGCTTTAGCTAGACACGTGAATCATTGTCCTGTAGTTATTGACAATATCATTGTTGGGTGGGGTCTGTGTTTTTTTAGGTTTGAAAATATGTGGTTGGAGCATTATGCTTTTAGAGAGATGGTTAAGCAACGGTGGTGCGAGAGATGCTTTAATTAGCGAGAAGGCTATAAGTTTATGATAAAGCTCTAGTTTCTGAAACAAGTTGAAGGTGTGAAATAAAAAAGAGTTTGGTAAGATTGATGTTACCAAGAAGAAGATAGTGGAAAAGGATTGGAGAGCTTGATAAGGTTGAAGAAAATGGGAGGTTGGATGAGAGTATGAGAAAAAGAGGTAAGATCTTAGAATTAAATTTGAAGAGGTGTTTTTCAAAGAGAGTAGTTGGAGACAAAATCAAGGGTAAAGTGGGTGAAGGAAAGGGATAGTATTCTAAATTCTTTTATAGAGTGGCAAATGGAAATAAGAAGAAAAATATTATTGATAAGTTGGAACTCAATGATGGTGTAACTATTGAGGATGATGAATCTATTTTGAGGGAGATTATTAACTTCTTTTCTAAGCTATATTCATCACAAAAAAGTTCTAGGCTTAGGTTGGAGAGTCTTCAGTGGATGTGTTTGAGTGTAGTAAAGATAAGACTCCCAAGGTTGATGGTTTTACCATGACCTTTTTTCAATAATGTTGGGATGTAAAGTGAATTTGATGAAAGTTTTTGAGAATTTTGTTTATAAAGGGGTGGGTAATGCAATTAATTCTTTGGGGTTAAGGATTTTCGTCCAATTAGTTTGGTGTATAGCTTGTATATGGTTATTGTAGAAGGGTTATCTTTAGGACTTGGAGAGTGTTTTGTGTGAGACCATTTTTGGTTTTCGAGGAGCTTTTATCAAGGAAGACACATGTTGGATGTGGCTCTTGTTTCTAATGAGGTGGTATAAGATTAGGCTAGAGGGAAGGAGGGTATTATGTTCAAGATTGACTTTGAAAAATCTTATGATCATATTGATTGAAACTTTTTGGAAGTCATAGATTCTTAAGAATTTGAGTCAAAATGGAGGATATAGATTCAAGGATACTTGCATTTAATGAATTTATCGGTTATGTTCAATGGTAAGCAGGGACGGAGCCAGAAATTTGTTGTAGTGGGGGCAAATTTTAGCAACAAAAATACTACATATATGTAATTCAAAGATCTAGTTTAGAGACTCATTGCTACCATTCTATTAGCAAAAAGAAGGGCGAGAACCACGAGACTCAGAATAATTTCTTAAATACATATTATGGAGATCAAGTAACTAAATATTATCTAAGTTCACTTGACTGAGGGGTAAGAAATTTATTCTAAATGTGTGAAATTGTGAAATAGATTTAAATGAATGCATTTTTTTCTACGGGTAAATCTATACTATACAGAAATCTTTATGAAAAATTTTGTTCCAAAATGAAATTGAGTTGGGGCAATTGCCCCACAAATGCCAGACTGGCTCAGCACCTGATGGTAAGCCTAGGGGTAAGTTGAAAGCTTTGAGTGGACATAGACAAGGGATCCTTTATCACCATCTATATAATAAAACGGGAGTGTGTTTGAATTTTATCTCAGTCATATTTTTTCTCTCAAAACTATCATCAATCACTTACTTCACTCATCATCCCTTTGTCAAATTCAAACGTCAAATTACATCACTTATTTCTATCACATATTTAATTATTTTTATATTTTCTCTCTAAAAATATCACACAACTCATTTTTATCATATATTTAATTATTTAATATTTAAATAATTTGTAGTTAATATATTTTGAAAAAATTTAATATAGTGGGATTGATTTTTTAAACGCTCGAATTTTATATTTTATCGTACCTTTTGGCACGGGTTATGACTAGTTTTTGTATACTATGTCAAGTATAAAAATAAATGTCGATTTGCTATGTAAGAAGTTCATTCAAGCNTTATGACTAGTTTTTGTATACTATGTCAAGTATAAAAATAAATGTCGATTTGCTATGTAAGAAGTTCATTCAAGCGGACGGACGTTATCCTACCCGAGTTTAGTGAATGGATTCTATTGTGGATGGTGGAATGTTGTTGGATTGTTTTAAATTTTGGATGCTTACCTAACAATCATTTGCTCCTTTGGATTGGAATAAACTAATATGACATGCATGTTGCCTGAGCTTATTTGATTATTTAATTATTTTTTTGTTTAAACACTATATGGTGTTGTTTCTATGCGGAACAAGTTAGCCTAATATTATCTCTTCATGTCATGCCCAACTGCAGAGATGTATGATAACCTCGGAAGCCAACCTGGGATGCAACGCCCAACAAACGCACAGTCAACTCCATTTGGGAATTCATTCTATGGTGCTGGCTCGGGACTCATTAGAGGTGGACTGGGTGCTTATGGAGAGAAAATCTTAGGATCAAGCTCTGAGTATGTTCAAAGCAATGTGAGTGACATGCCTAGCCTACTTAATTCCAAATTCATATCACAGTTAAGTTCTAAAAGAACAGAAGTTCAATTACGGACCATCTGCACTTAGTTTAATTGTATCAGGTCAAACTTGTATGGTTGATAGGAATGTAGTTGTGCTATTTATTTTACCTCTGAATGGAATTGTGTCTCCATAAATCCATTTAAATGGTAAAATATCTCCTTGATTGGCATGTTAAAACCTTTTCTTCAAAAAAAAATCTTCATTTTTGGGGTGAATAAATGTTTATTTGATTGTTGATCAATGGTGCAAGGAAATCAAGTCCTTTGCAGCGGAGTAGTCAGGAAAGTTATTGGTGTTTACTAGCATATTAATACTCTTTTGGTAATATATTCTAAAGCAAATCACCTTCCTATTACCAAGTTTCTGTTTGAAACACGTATTTCTCAATTTTCTTGACAGAGGTTGTGTTGTCATGGTACTTAACTACCTAGCATCATAATCTAAATGGCATTTTGCAAGCAAGGTGTCAAATTGGCTTAGTAGTCTGCAATGGTCCAAAATTCTAAGTCACTCCATATCCATATATGTTCCATTCCATATCAGGATTATNAGCAAGGTGTCAAATTGGCTTAGTAGTCTGCAATGGTCCAAAATTCTAAGTCACTCCATATCCATATATGTTCCATTCCATATCAGGATTATATTGTTGATGAGTAGGCTTGTCAATGGATTAGATTTTATTTCGAATCCCTGAATTGGAATCCTTTTAGGCAAGTATGGATTGACATTTTTTTACCAATCCAAATCCTAATCGTTTTATCCTATTTTACGGATTCAGATTTTGGATTTACCAATATCCAACCCGATTGTAATATTGTCGGATTTATGCATGTAAATCTGTACAAATATATGATGGAATTAAGTGAGTATTTGATAAAATTTCATTGAAAGTTGGATGTGATTTACTAAATTACAACTTAATAAATTTATTCTGTTCGGGTTAGGTATCCAATTCGTAACGAATTTGGATGTCTACTTTGAAAATAAAATCTGTCGGATAAGCTGGCCAGAACTTTTTAATTGGATTCATAGACTGAAATCCGATCCTTCGACTGTTCTATTGATGAGGTGATCTGGTCTGTGATCCGTTGAAATTGTATGAGATGCAAAAAACCAGTTACTATTTGCATATGTAATTTTTGATTGTTTTCTTTCATGATTCATTTTGATTTTACCAGATAAGTAGGTATTTCTCTGATCCCCAATACTATTTCCAAGTTAATGATCAGTACGTGAGAAACAAATTGAAGGTGGTTCTTCTCCCATTCCTGCACAGGGTAAGCACTAATTTGCTATGTACATCTTTCCTTTCCTTTTTGTCTTACTTCCTTTTAGTTGGTTGCATTGTTTTGTACAATAGGTACTTTTTCTCCTAACTTCTCTTTACTCCAGGGTCATTGGACGAGGATCACTGAGCCAGTTGGAGGCAGGCTTTCCTATAAGCCGCCAATCTATGATATAAATGCGCCAGACTTGTACATTCCATTCATGGCATTTGGCACCTATGTGGTTCTTTCTGGCTTCTCTCTAGGCCTTAATGGAAAGTAAGTGTCAGCTTGAGCCTATTCGTTAACAATTTTTTTGTCTCATTTTTGGAACCGGTGCTTAGAAATGACATGAATATAAATTGGTTTTATCCTTTTATTTTTTTGCTTGCATACAAATTGAGCTTTGTTTAGTTCTCCTTTCTATGCTAGCCCCAGGTCCCAATTTTGTTGTCTTATCAGTGAGTTTTTTACGATGATTGTTAAGAAGAACATCACATTTGTTCCTACTGTAGCATAGCATCTTTTGGTTTCTGTGTTCCCTCCCTCCCCAACGCCCAATGCCCCACAATGCACAACAGTGCTGATAATTTTGGAGAAAAGGGTGCGATTGTCATATAGGTGAAAAAGTAAGGATATTTTAGAGAAACTAAGTAAAAATTGTGTGTTGTGGTCTTTGAAAAGCTAATAATTCTTTGCAAACACTTTATATCTTTTCTTTTAGTTACCATGGCTTTGCTTCTACTGTGGTGCTGGGGAATTTAATTTTTTCTTGTGTGATATTATACTTTCTTTCCATCACATTGTAAGGTTTTTGCATCATTCCATTACTTTCCAGGTTTAGCCCAGAAGCTCTGAACTGGCTGTTCATCAAGGGTTTGGTAGGCTGGTTTTTGCAAGTTTCACTGCTGAAGATGTCATTGTTTTCATTGGGTAGTGGGGAGGCACCATTGTTGGATATTGTGGCATATGCCGGGTATATGTTCACAGGATTATGTATAGCTGTTCTGGGGAAAATCATGTTGAGCTACTCGTACTACTTCTTGATGCCATGGACGTGTTTATGCATGGGAGTTTTTCTGGTGAAGACGATGAAGAGAGTTCTTTTTGCAGAGGTGAGGACTTACGATTCGAGCAGGCATCATTACCTCTTGCTCTTCATTGCTTTGGCTCAGTTCCCACTGTTCATTTGGCTTGGCAATGTTACTCTTAATTGGCTTTTTTGAACTGGTATTCCTCTCTGTGTTGTAGCTAGAAACAATCCTGTGTCTACTACAGTGTTCAAAAAGGCAATTTGTCAATTTTAGTTGATTTTTTGGGCCCTTAGTTTTGAGTTCAAGCATGAATGTTTCCATTACTCTTAGATTTTTGTTTTGAGTAAGATTTTTGTTTTTATTTTTCCTGAAGGCTGTTTGCAATTCCTGAGATGCTCTAAAGGTATGGGATGGAAAATCCATAAAAATGAAATGCGTGCAGTCTCTTCTTATGTGGGTAAGCAACGGTTAAGAGGACTGACATTGTCCATGTTTCATGTGTTTTCACAGGCCGTCAAAATTGTGGGGGTGGTAATCGAATCGAGTGGAGTTTTGTGAGCTTGAATCCAAGTTTGGCGAGCTTATTTTTTTAAATGAGTTTAAAAAATTGTTCAAATTTGGTTTGTTTAGAACTCGAGTTGAGTCTTAGTCCGGGTCGAGGCCGAATAGTTCGACTATTTTATATGTAAACGAGTTGAGGTTGAGTCAAGTTTTTTTGGCTTGTTTTTTTAAATGAATTTAAAACACTGTTTAAGCTCAGTCTGTTCAGAACACGAGTCTAGATTGAATTAAGTTTTATCCGAGTTAAGTTCGAGTTACTCATTTCGATTAACACTCTTTATCTTTGACACCTTAACCATAAAATTGAGGATATAAAAAGAAAAAAAAAAAAAAGCAAACCTAACAGAGAACCATCTAAATTAAAATTTTAGATTCAAGAGCATAATCTTATTATTCTCCTACGCTTGGCCTGCTCTCAATCATAAACTTCATCAGTTCGATAGAGATTAGTCATCATAATGAATATTGTTTAGGTCACTCGAAAAGCCACCATAGTTCTTTTTCTCAGTTCTCTTACATGCCAGATGATTTGTGCATTGATCGAAAATTTATTTGTAATGAAATCATCTTCAATATTTTTTTCTTTAATAGATTATTAAGCATGAATTGAAGTGGGTCCATTGTATAAAGGTGAGTGTCTCGCTGCATGATATGAGATTCACAAAACAAAAAAAAAATGTATTAGAAGGGGTCTAAATCCAATTTATTTGTGTATAGCACGACATGATGCCCTTGAATTCATGGAACACCCAAAAAATATATTTTGTCATTGCAATACAAACCATAGAGGCAATGCGTTTTTTGGTGTAATAATAAGATAAAATCGTCAATTACAATTCCAATTTTTTATGGCCAAAACGCGCAAAGATAAATTGCTCGTACACATCGGTGGTGTGGTGACGGGCTACTCCAAAAAAGTCTATAGTTATGACTAATTGAACATTTTACATAAGGAGAAACCCTCGTGGTCATGCCCAAAAATAATCACTATCTAGTGGTCGTCCTTCTCTTACCATTTTTCTTGATCAAAAAAAAAAAAATATTACTCGTACGCAGGCTGCCTCCAATAGGCATGGTCAGTATTTGGCAAAGAGTAAATTAGTAAAGGGTAAATCCCATTTTACCCCTCGAAAGATATAAAAAATTTTAATTTGTCCCCTTAATGATTAATTTGTCACATTACCCCCTTAAAAAAAATAAAAATATTGAAATGTAGTCCACTATCTTATTTTCGTGTGGTCGTTTGTCTATTTTTTTATTCTTGATTAGTTGATTTGACACAAAACAAACGGATGACCTAAAAAAAATAAGACAATGAATCACATTACAACATTTTTATTTTTTGAATGTCGAAAAATTAATTATTTGGAGGATAAGCTGAAAAAAATTGTATCTTTTATGGGACAAAATAAAATTTTTCCATCAGTAAATTACACTTGCACTGTTTACACTATTTCCTTCATTGCACATTATTTCTTAAACGATTCCCTTTTTAATATTACACTTTTAATTATTATTTTGAGTTTTATATTGCCCCAATCATTAATTTTTATCTAATTTTTTCATGATAAATCAAGACAAAAATAAAATTTTGTACATCTAAGCAGAGAATTATTACACCTCTTAACATTATTCAGTTTCAATTTTGCCTTAATTTATGCTCAAAATTGTGATGATAATTAATGATTTTGAATAATGCGAAATTCAAATCAATAATTTCATATGTAATATAAAAAATTAATAATTTAAAAGGCAAAGGCGCATATTTGATACAATTGCATCACACATTTGAAATAACTTCAATTTTTGTTCTTGAATATTTAAGTTCGAGTTTTTATAATTATTATAAGTTCGGTGGAACTAAACCTACTCTTTAACGGTCAGAACACGGGATAATAATTTAAAAAATGCTATGTCTACCAAGTCTTTTACTAAATTCTAGATTCCAAATGATGTGACAGATTGATAGTCATTGAATAATTAGCGAAAACTTGTGATCATATGGTTCTTATTGGTTTGGGATAGAAAATTTGATAAAACATTTGATGAATGTAGTATTATTGTACTAATTTTGGCCCCGATATACTAAAATATTTGACATATAACTGAGTAATGTTGAAGGGCAACACCGTATCAACAGTGAAATCAATAAATATTGGAACTGAAATCAATTATTATAATTATCAAATTTAATTTTTAAATTTATTTTTTAAGTTTATTTTTTTGGAAAAAAAAAAATAAGAGAGAGAGAGAGAGCCGTTGGTTTAACAGCTACCCGCCAAAATCTGATTGAGAAATGTGCGGCCCACATAAAGTCACAAATTCTCACTTGATCACAACTCCTTTCCAAAACTCTCTCTCTCTCTCTCTCCGATGCTTCTGTTTGCTTCAATCGCGGGTACCCCTCTCTCCCTCTGCATATCCACCCCTCACTTTCCAAGAACTCGCAAACCCTCTTCCTCTCCATTTGCTTCTATTAGCTCAGCATCGTCATCTCATGAATCACCACCACCATCCACAACTGAAGGATTTATATCCTCGAACCCTTCCTTTGTTGCATCATCCTCTAAACCACAGGACAAGAATGTCAACTTCGCGCTTGCAAACCCGAATGGTAACCCGGTTGCTCGCTTTGTTCGGTCCACGGAGTCAACCGTTGAAAGGGTAATTAGATTTTGTGTTTTAACTCTCTTTATTACTCTATTACAAATTGTGATTTTTTTCCTCTTATTTTTCATTAGTCATGGTTGAATTCTCAGTTTTAAGGGCTTAAACGAAACGTTTCTTGTTCTTTGGTGATTTAAGTGTGAAATCTTGACCGCCCATGGATGAGGTTCAAGGCTGGTAGATTCAGGTTTACATGAATTTTGCCTACAATATGAGTAACATGATATCAAGGCCTAAAAGTCCGAAGAGCCTACACTGCCTGCCTTTATATAGAAATAGAAGAGAACCATGTGAACAGACTACCCAAGAAGGGCCACAGATGAGGGAGACAATTAAATAAATACTTATATAATCCTCATCTCTATCAGCTTAAGCATTTAGGGTAGTTGATAATTGACATTGTTTGTGACCTGGTCACTTGGTGATGTGTTTGAGGGGGTTGCTGGACACCCCAACTCCATGCAGACATGTCTAAATCTTTTTGTTCACTAGTTAGTTGGTATTTCTATGATAATGGTTTTTTTTTTCTCTTGGAGATAGGCATGTCATTCCAATTATGATGAATCTGGCCTAGGGTTGGTAGAACTGGAAGTTGGCATTCCCAAATCCAAACTTGGCGTGGTTAGGCTTAAGACTCTTCTGTTCCATGCCACTTGCTTACTTAAAATAACTGAAACTACCAAAAGAACCACATACTAAAAGAAAGAAAAATAGAAACAGTTTTTCAAACACTGAAACCAAATTGAAGGCATAAAAAAATAAGAATAATTTCACAGCTAAGAATGCTGTAGGAATGGCACCCCTAATGTTGACCCCAATAGCAGGAGAACCCAAAAATGAAGGTATGTCAGCAGAAAATTGTCTAAAAGCTGAACTTCCAAGCAACAAGGTGGCCCAAGTTGAATTCCCACGCATCTGCATACCGGTGTAATGCCTCCGTATAAAATGTTGATTTGTACATTTGTCACATTACAGTAGTACAATCATTTTTTCCCTTCAGTAATAGATGGAGCTCATGCCCCTGACGACATCCTTTAGTTATATTTCATAGAGCTCTCTTTCAGAATGTTTACTAAGGGATCAATTACACCATCCCCACAGAATGTTACCTAGTTCTTCACATTTGTTGCATGTGTTCACTCATTTATCAGTAGTAATACATTGCAAAGAAGCCAATTCTTCATTTTGTAGATGCCTTTGATGAAGCAATTTGCCATCTCAAATCCTACAATGATAGCTTATCTTGCAAGATTGGGCTCAATCATAGTTGTTAATATCGTACGATACGCAATACAATACATTGAGATATATGAAGAAAATGAGACACATTGCTTTAAGTGTATCGGTTTGCATCGTTTCATGCGATATACAATACGATACACCCAATATACTAGACGATACGTATGAGTCTTCCGATACAGGATGAAACATATTAAAAAAAATTCCTTTGAATTTTAACCAAAAAAAGACGTCTTTTCACTTGGAAGTAATTTTTTCAAACACTAGGTAATAAAACGATGTTGTTTCACCATCTACAGTTTTTAAGAAATAAAACTTTTTTTTTTATTTGTTCCATTACAGGAGCAAATATTTTGATTGTTAAAAAGTGTTCTCTTTGGCTACTTTAAATATTAGAACTAGAACTCTCTAAATTTTGATATTGATGAATTATGCCAGAAACTTCAATAATTAGATTGTTAATTTTTTTTGTTTTAGTCCTTGTAGTCTCTTTAAATTGTTTTATATGAGACATTTGTAGTACAATGAAATGTTTTTATGACATTTTGTCATAGTGATATATATTTTTTAATTTTTTTATAAAACTGCACATATCTTATGATATGTTATACATTACGATACGTAATACACTGTTTTTGAAAAATGATACGCCTTCAGATACACGTTTTGACAACCTTGGGCTCAATCACTCTTTCTTTTAATTGGAAATTGGATTATATGTGATACCGGGGTTCTTACTCTTTAATTCACTAAATGTGAAAATTGTCGATGGAGTTGCCTCATTGGAGCTTCACATACATTATTAATGACTAACAATGCTAACTTAGTTTCTGGTTCCTCATTTGTGTTTAATGAGAATTCTTCTATGATGATTGTGCCTAGTGATTTTTTTTTGTGCATTATTACCCAACATTCAGAATCTTTTTTTTCCGGGTAAGTTGTTCGGACTATTTTTGCCAGCACATAACTATGTTCATTAAAGGAAGGGTAGATAAATTGAATGTGATAGTAAATATTTTCAAAATTTTGGAGATGCTTTTTCTGTTTGGTCTAATCTTGTGATAATGATTGTTGCTTCTTCATTGCTGAGCAGGTCATATTTGACTTTAGGTTTCTGGCACTGCTGGCTGTTGGGGGCTCGTTAGCTGGTTCTTTGCTTTGCTTTCTAAATGTACTTTCTCCTTACACCTACTTTTTTTTTTTTCTAAATGTTATAACCGAGGAAGATTGCCTGTTTTTCTTGTGTTCGATAATGAGATTGGTCCTATTAATTTTTGAATAAATGTATCTGTAATGGAATTTTGTTATATGATGCTCATGATGGTTAAAGTTCATGAAAGAATCTCATATAGCCCATTCAATGGGCTCCTGATATCTGGACATGGTATCCATTGTCATAAAAATCTTAGGTGTCTTTAGATGATAGGAGAAATGAGAGGTGTTCTTCCAACTATGGGTCATAACTGACGGGTTAAGTGTAACATTCACATTTGCATCATTGTGGCAGTGCTCCTTCAAAACATTAACCTTCTGTTTGTTCTATAGCTATGGGATTGAATGTGTAAGGAAAAAAAAATGCAAGTCTTCAGATGTTGGAAACACTAGTGGAGGTTAATTGTTACAAGTTCTGCGGTTGCTAATACCATGCAAGTGGCCCATAAGCATATTATTGGATACTTTACTGAGGCCTGAGGAAGTTGCATTGTCGAAAATCTGTCCCTCAATATAGTATCAGCTTAGCTGTTTATAAATTTTTTAAGATTCATGCAATTATATAATTTTCTTTTTCCCTATTATGTACTGATTGAGTTTCGTACTTAAGATTTCTTTGTCTTCTAGGTTTCTTGATATTAGAGTGCTTTTGTCGCTTCATACTATATTGAGTTAAGTTAAAGAATTTAAAATATGTGTAATATAAAAACTATAAAAAATTTAAAAAATTATAAGCACTTGTCATCGAGATATATTAAAATGAAAATTGTAGACAACGTGAATAAGTAGCCAAAATTCCAGCTAGATATGGCTGAAAGTTGCCACATGTAAACCATTTTTTCTTCCTACTCTTGTAAGTTCTGGAAACCAATTTGTTTTGATTGTGTATGTTATTCTTGATGCGAAGTTTCCAGAACAAAATTCATTATACACCATTTTCCCTTGCTAATCATGGTGATCATGTTTATGTTTACCTAATGTTCGTGCTATGGTAAGCTTGTCCAACTTGTGTTTTTTAATGTTTATGTTTGTCAAGTAATGTATAGACACAAATAATATTTTTCATTTTGGAGTGGTCACTTTATGAAGTTCTAAATGTGGACTTGTATTTGTGTTTTGGTCTGTGTTTATGCTAGTGGATCTGATCTCACTGACTGCTTCGGATCGTTGTAGGGCTGTGTTTACATTATTGAGGCATACAAAATTTACTGGACGAGCTGTGTCAAAGGGATTCACACAGGACAGATGGTTCTACGTTTGGTTGAAGCTATTGGTGAGTTTCTGAGAATTTTGGTCAATAACATTCCCTACCCTTGGCAGAAACTATAATTTGTTTTGCCATTTCCCAATCATAAGGTTCACACGGTAGTTAGAGTTTTAGCTTCTCTAGTTTAGTAAATTGGGGTTTTACTGAAATCCATTACATTTTGTACTCAGGGCCCTGTTGCCTGTTATAATCTTTCTCCCAGTAGCAATTAATGATGACAATGCCCTTTCAAGTGCTTTTTCTCCATCAGCCATTTCATACTTTAACTTCTTTTGTATGATTGCTTTCCTGCTTCTTCCTCTCCGTGCTGTTTATGTTTAGTCTTCACTGGTACAAATCAACTCAACTCAACAAAGCATTGTCCCTACTATTTGGCAGCTAAATTATAAGAAACAAATCTACTAAATCCATGACGTGATTGGATAGGTTTGAGTTCCAAAAATCAGTTAGGCTTTCTCTAGCTTTAGAATTTTCCTGAAAGAAAATTTCATTCTAAGTTTCTTGAGACCAGGATTTGAGCATTCTCCTTGACAGAATTATAACTAGAGGGAATTGGGAATTGCCTGTTCAATGAGAATGACTCACCACTATGTTGGTGTATCTGGTTCTTCAACCAAAATTACCCACTTTACTCTTCATCCTCCTGGTTTTGATTTTCTGTTCTCTTTATTTCTTTCTCTCTCTTTTCTTTTGTCTTTTTTCGTTTTAAGAACATTGTGTGCCTTAAGAGACCTTGTTGANTCTGTTTGCTTCAATCGCGGGTACCCCTCTCTCCCTCTGCATATCCACCCCTCACTTTCCAAGAACTCGCAAACCCTCTTCCTCTCCATTTGCTTCTATTAGCTCAGCATCGTCATCTCATGAATCACCACCACCATCCACAACTGAAGGATTTATATCCTCGAACCCTTCCTTTGTTGCATCATCCTCTAAACCACAGGACAAGAATGTCAACTTCGCGCTTGCAAACCCGAATGGTAACCCGGTTGCTCGCTTTGTTCGGTCCACGGAGTCAACCGTTGAAAGGGTAATTAGATTTTGTGTTTTAACTCTCTTTATTACTCTATTACAAATTGTGATTTTTTTCCTCTTATTTTTCATTAGTCATGGTTGAATTCTCAGTTTTAAGGGCTTAAACGAAACGTTTCTTGTTCTTTGGTGATTTAAGTGTGAAATCTTGACCGCCCATGGATGAGGTTCAAGGCTGGTAGATTCAGGTTTACATGAATTTTGCCTACAATATGAGTAACATGATATCAAGGCCTAAAAGTCCGAAGAGCCTACACTGCCTGCCTTTATATAGAAATAGAAGAGAACCATGTGAACAGACTACCCAAGAAGGGCCACAGATGAGGGAGACAATTAAATAAATACTTATATAATCCTCATCTCTATCAGCTTAAGCATTTAGGGTAGTTGATAATTGACATTGTTTGTGACCTGGTCACTTGGTGATGTGTTTGAGGGGGTTGCTGGACACCCCAACTCCATGCAGACATGTCTAAATCTTTTTGTTCACTAGTTAGTTGGTATTTCTATGATAATGGTTTTTTTTTTCTCTTGGAGATAGGCATGTCATTCCAATTATGATGAATCTGGCCTAGGGTTGGTAGAACTGGAAGTTGGCATTCCCAAATCCAAACTTGGCGTGGTTAGGCTTAAGACTCTTCTGTTCCATGCCACTTGCTTACTTAAAATAACTGAAACTACCAAAAGAACCACATACTAAAAGAAAGAAAAATAGAAACAGTTTTTCAAACACTGAAACCAAATTGAAGGCATAAAAAAATAAGAATAATTTCACAGCTAAGAATGCTGTAGGAATGGCACCCCTAATGTTGACCCCAATAGCAGGAGAACCCAAAAATGAAGGTATGTCAGCAGAAAATTGTCTAAAAGCTGAACTTCCAAGCAACAAGGTGGCCCAAGTTGAATTCCCACGCATCTGCATACCGGTGTAATGCCTCCGTATAAAATGTTGATTTGTACATTTGTCACATTACAGTAGTACAATCATTTTTTCCCTTCAGTAATAGATGGAGCTCATGCCCCTGACGACATCCTTTAGTTATATTTCATAGAGCTCTCTTTCAGAATGTTTACTAAGGGATCAATTACACCATCCCCACAGAATGTTACCTAGTTCTTCACATTTGTTGCATGTGTTCACTCATTTATCAGTAGTAATACATTGCAAAGAAGCCAATTCTTCATTTTGTAGATGCCTTTGATGAAGCAATTTGCCATCTCAAATCCTACAATGATAGCTTATCTTGCAAGATTGGGCTCAATCATAGTTGTTAATATCGTACGATACGCAATACAATACATTGAGATATATGAAGAAAATGAGACACATTGCTTTAAGTGTATCGGTTTGCATCGTTTCATGCGATATACAATACGATACACCCAATATACTAGACGATACGTATGAGTCTTCCGATACAGGATGAAACATATTANTTGTTAATATCGTACGATACGCAATACAATACATTGAGATATATGAAGAAAATGATACATATTGCTTTAAGTGTATCGGTTTGCATCGTTTCATGCGATATACAATACGATTCACCCAATATACTAGACGATACGTATGAGTCTTCCGATACAGGATGAAACATATTAAAAAAAATTCCTTTGAATTTTAACCAAAAAAAGACGTCTTTTCACTTGGAAGTAATTTTTTCAAACACTAGGTAATAAAACGATGTTGTTTCACCATCTACAGTTTTTAAGAAATAAAACTTTTTTTTTTTATTTGTTCCATTACAGGAGCAAATATTTTGATTGTTAAAAAGTGTTCTCTTTGGCTACTTTAAATATTAGAACTAGAACTCTCTAAATTTTGATATTGATGAATTATGCCAGAAACTTCAATAATTAGATTGTTAATTTTTTTTGTTTTAGTCCTTGTAGTCTCTTTAAATTGTTTTATATGAGACATTTGTAGTACAATGAAATGTTTTTATGACATTTTGTCATAGTGATATATATTTTTTAATTTTTTTATAAAACTGCACATATCTTATGATATGTTATACATTACGATACGTAATACACTGTTTTTGAAAAATGATACGCCTTCAGATACACGTTTTGACAACCTTGGGCTCAATCACTCTTTCTTTTAATTGGAAATTGGATTATATGTGATACCGGGGTTCTTACTCTTTAATTCACTAAATGTGAAAATTGTCGATGGAGTTGCCTCATTGGAGCTTCACATACATTATTAATGACTAACAATGCTAACTTAGTTTCTGGTTCCTCATTTGTGTTCAATGAGAATTCTTCTATGATGATTGTGCCTAGTGATTTTTTTTTGTGCATTATTACCCAACATTCAGAATCTTTTTTTTCCGGGTAAGTTTTTCGGACTATTTTTGCCAGCACATAACTATGTTCATTAAAGGAAGGGTAGATAAATTGAATGTGATAGTAAATATTTTCAAAATTTTGGAGATGCTTTTTCTGTTTGGTCTAATCTTGTGATAATGATTGTTGCTTCTTCATTGCTGAGCAGGTCATATTTGACTTTAGGTTTCTGGCACTGCTGGCTGTTGGGGGCTCGTTAGCTGGTTCTTTGCTTNCTAATCTTGTGATAATGATTGTTGCTTCTTCATTGCTGAGCAGGTCATATTCGACTTTAGGTTTCTGGCACTGCTGGCTGTTGGGGGCTCGTTAGCTGGTTCTTTGCTTTGCTTTCTAAATGTACTTTCTCCTTACACCTACTTTTTTTTTTTTCTAAATGTTATAACCGAGGAAGATTGCCTGTTTTTCTTGTGTTCGATAATGAGATTGGTCCTATTAATTTTTGAATAAATGTATCTGTAATGGAATTTTGTTATATGATGCTCATGATGGTTGAAGTTCATGAAAGAATCTCATATAGCCCATTCAATGGGCTCCTGATATCTGGACATGGTATCCATTGTCATAAAAATCTTAGGTGTCTTTAGATGATAGGAGAAATGAGAGGTGTTCTTCCAACTATGGGTCATAACTGACGGGTTAAGTGTAACATTCACATTTGCATCATTGTGGCAGTGCTCCTTCAAAACATTAACCTTCTGTTTGTTCTATAGCTATGGGATTGAATGTGTAAGGAAAAAAAAATGCAAGTCTTCAGATGTTGGAAACACTAGTGGAGGTTAATTGTTACAAGTTCTGCGGTTGCTAATACCATGCAAGTGGCCCATAAGCATATTATTGGATACTTTACTGAGGCCTGAGGAAGTTGCATTGTCGAAAATCTGTCCCTCAATATAGTATCAGCTTAGCTGTTTATAAATTTTTTAAGATTCATGCAATTATATAATTTTCTTTTTCCCTATTATGTACTGATTGAGTTTCGTACTTAAGATTTCTTTGTCTTCTAGGTTTCTTGATATTAGAGTGCTTTTGTCGCTTCATACTATATTGAGTTAAGTTAAAGAATTTAAAATATGTGTAATATAAAAACTATAAAAAATTTAAAAAATTATAAGCACTTGTCATCGAGATATATTAAAATGAAAATTGTAGACAACGTGAATAAGTAGCCAAAATTCCAGCTAGATATGGCTGAAAGTTGCCACATGTAAACCATTTTTTCTTCCTACTCTTGTAAGTTCTGGAAACCAATTTGTTTTGATTGTGTATGTTATTCTTGATGCGAAGTTTCCAGAACAAAATTCATTATACACCATTTTCCCTTGCTAATCATGGTGATCATGTTTATGTTTACCTAATGTTCGTGCTATGGTAAGCTTGTCCAACTTGTGTTTTTTAATGTTTATGTTTGTCAAGTAATGTATAGACACAAATAATATTTTTCATTTTGGAGTGGTCACTTTATGAAGTTCTAAATGTGGACTTGTATTTGTGTTTTGGTCTGTGTTTATGCTAGTGGATCTGATCTCACTGACTGCTTCAGATCGTTGTAGGGCTGTGTTTACATTATTGAGGCATACAAAATTTACTGGACGAGCTGTGTCAAAGGGATTCACACAGGACAGATGGTTCTACGTTTGGTTGAAGCTATTGGTGAGTTTCTGAGAATTTTGGTCAATAACATTCCCTACCCTTGGCAGAAACTATAATTTGTTTTGCCATTTCCCAATCATAAGGTTCACACGGTAGTTAGAGTTTTAGCTTCTCTAGTTTAGTAAATTGGGGTTTTACTGAAATCCATTACATTTTGTACTCAGGGCCCTGTTGCCTGTTATAATCTTTCTCCCAGTAGCAATTAATGATGACAATGCCCTTTCAAGTGCTTTTTCTCCATCAGCCATTTCATACTTTAACTTCTTTTGTATGATTGCTTTCCTGCTTCTTCCTCTCCGTGCTGTTTATGTTTAGTCTTCACTGGTACAAATCAACTCAACTCAACAAAGCATTGTCCCTACTATTTGGCAGCTAAATTATAAGAAACAAATCTACTAAATCCATGACGTGATTGGATAGGTTTGAGTTCCAAAAATCAGTTAGGCTTTCTCTAGCTTTAGAATTTTCCTGAAAGAAAATTTCATTCTAAGTTTCTTGAGACCAGGATTTGAGCATTCTCCTTGACAGAATTATAACTAGAGGGAATTGGGAATTGCCTGTTCAATGAGAATGACTCACCACTATGTTGGTGTATCTGGTTCTTCAACCAAAATTACCCACTTTACTCTTCATCCTCCTGGTTTTGATTTTCTGTTCTCTTTATTTCTTTCTCTCTCTTTTCTTTTGTCTTTTTTCGTTTTAAGAACATTGTGTGCCTTAAGAGACCTTGTTGACTTGCGATGTTTGATCTTGGATACGTATCTGGTCTATAAAGATGCCAACATTATGATTGAAATCTTAATTATCTAAAGTGGGATAGTTTAGAACACTTCAAAATATTTGATTTAAGAAGAACTATTTTAATTTAAAAGTCAACATTATGATCAAAAAAAAAAAATTAAAAGTCAACATTAGTAAAGGATCATTTATATTACTCTTCTTCAACAGCAATTGAACAACCATAATTACTGATTCTCTTCTTATCTTTTCTTACCTTTGTCCCCATGTAGCCCTCACATATTCAGACACACTTATTTTTGTATTTTTTTATATATGTATGCGTGTGTGTGCTATATATATTGTTTGTGGGAGAATCTTTTTGCCAGCCATTTAGACAGTGAGATGGGTTATGAACTTTTCACTTACTTTAGTATTGCAGCTTTCAATTGCTGATAACATCTCCTCTTAATGCAGATGTATATCTAGCTGGGACTGTCATGTTAATATTTGGCATGGGTTTATATGGATTATTTATCAGTAATGTGCCTCCAAATGTACCTCCCACAGTTGATCGTGCCCTTAAGGGGTCTTCCTTGTTTGGGATGTTCGCTTTGAAGGTATGTGGCTCTCTTTGAACTGGTTGCATTTCCTTTTGGGAGGATATCACCGTTTTATGTATCATAATTCCCAGTGACACCATCTTACATATCTCCTGTTTATTTACTTTCATATTCACATACTCCATTTGGCTTGACCTTACAAATATTTAATGTTTGAGTTGTTCATTTAATCTGTCTTTTGGGGCCAGACGGAACCTTTAATTATAGTCCGAAGTTCTAACGAAAAGGACATTTTATCAATAAAGAAATAAACATGCAAATATATTACGTATTGGTCGAACCACAATATAAACAAGTTACCCAAGGCCATGTTACTTGAGTTTGTGGGATGAAGGATTAGTGGTTGGACTTATAGAACTCATTGATTGGATCCAACCCTAAATAATTGGGATAAGGTTGTGTTTGGTTTTGTTTTGGAAGGGATTTTATTCCATCTGACTTCTACTGAATCCTTCTGATAGAGCATAGTGAATATTGATTCAGGCCGTCAGGGAGTCTCTTCCCGCCTTTCATATGAAAAAACAATGGGTAGACAAGGAAACTATCCTGAGGTGGTCCTAATAAATTTATGACTAGTTTTTTGTGCAGACTCCTAAACCTCCTCAGTTATTCTTCACTTAACCTTGTAGTTTCCAGGTAAAATCCTTAGGGGCAGCCGATCATTTATCCCGCTGCAGTCTAGTGTCTCACTTACTATTGTTGAGATGTAAAACTAGGTACGGATTCCCCCTTCACCATCCTCCATCCTCATTGTCCCCAGGTGTTTTCTTCTCTCTGAAAAAAAAATAAAGAATGAAAAAGGCCGTGGGAAAAAGAAGATACAAAGAGAGTGATACTGCAGATATTATTTATGTCCCATGGGGTTCGAGTTTAAAATCTTATTATTCATGTGAATTATTGGAGAATCATTTTTATTATACAGTATTAAACTTTAAGATCTTATTATTCCTCGCTGCAAGAGAAATCAACTCAATTTGGTAATCCAGTATTCTTGGGTCCCTAGGTGGTATCGGCTCAGTGCTGTTGACCTCTTTATAGACCACTAGCACCCCTAACTGGTGGGCCGAGAATAATGGGGGTTTTATGCAATTTCTTTTGGGAAGAAAATTAAAGCAGAAAGTCTTATCCCAGTTCTTAAAGCATTCTACTTTCTTATAGAGCAAGCAAATCTGTGTGCATATATGAACCATCATTCAGACAAAGTTGTCCGTTGTCTTCTCTCTCTTCTCGTGTACTATACTGAACTGATTGATTGGTCCTTATTGGCTTTGCAGGAGAGGCCTAAATGGATGCAAATCAGTTCGCTCGATGAATTAAAGACGAAAGTGGGACATGTAATTGTTATGATCCTTCTAGTAAAGATGTTTGAAAGGAGCAAGATGGTCACGATAGCTACTGGTGTGGATCTTTTAAGCTATTCTGTATGTATTTTCTTATCTTCTGCTTCCTTATACATTCTTCATAATCTGCACAAGGCAGATTAGAGTTGGCCACAAATAGCTTCAGGTAATATGTATATTTTTTAAACTTGTATGGAAAAATAATGTAATACCAGTCCACAGCTTGGGATAAAGGTTAATGTCTGTCTTTGTAGCCACAGTTGCATGGCTCTTCACTAATGTTCTCTACTTAATTGATTGTAAATGGTCTCATTACAATGCTGTTACCGGATTTCCTCTTACCGAGCAAAACAATGATCTTAACGATACATAGAGCCAGAAAATCTGTAAATGTTGCGAATTTTATGGAGGATATCATTCTTTTAAGCACGAGTTTTTTTTTTTTTTTTTTTTATGGTTCAAAAAAAGGTGGGGACAAATGAGAGAATTTAGAGACCACCCTAATAAGCCCTCATTGGTGGGATAATGAATCCCCTGACTGCATCTGTTACTCTTCTGAGGAACGAATTTAGTTAGGTTAGCATAGCGGTCAATCACTAAGTTTCAATGTAGACTCTAAAACTTGAACCTTCAATATCAGAATGAAAAGTTTGACCGATTTTCTATTAAATTATCCCCCTCGGTGGTTTATGCATAAATGTTGACGGTTGATATTAGTAAACTTTGTTGACGATGCTACTTGATTTGTCATTGCATATCCTTCAAATTATGACACTTGTGTCATTTAAGTTCTTGTACTTTTTTTGTGTCAATTGAGCCCCCAAACTTTCTAATTGTATCTGCCTCCGTTAGATTTTCTAACAAAAAGCGGCGAAGTGTGTCACTCACTTGACACAAATTGTTGGAGCAAACCATACATATAACCCTTGTATCAATTAAGCCCCTGATTTATTTTTTTTGTCAATTGAGTCTCTAAACTCTTTAATTGTGACAATTAGACCTTTTGTCTTTTTATCATATAGTCACGTGAGTGANTAGGGTGTCTCTTCCCGCCTTTCATATGAAAAAACAATGGGTAGACAAGGAAACGATCCTGAGGTGGTCCTAATAAATTTATGACTAGTTTTTTGTGCAGACTCCTAAACCTCCTCAGTTATTCTTCACTTAACCTTGTAGTTTCCAGGTAAAATCCTTAGGGGCAGCCGATCATTTATCCCGCTGCAGTCTAGTGTCTCACTTACTATTGTTGAGATGTAAAACTAGGTACGGATTCCCCCTTCACCATCCTCCATCCTCATTGTCCCCAGGTGTTTTCTTCTCTCTGAAAAAAAAAATAAAGAATGAAAAAGGCCGTGGGAAAAAGAAGATACAAAGAGAGTGATACTGCAGATATTATTTATGTCCCATGGGGTTCGAGTTTAAAATCTTATTATTCATGTGAATTATTGGAGAATCATTTTTATTATACAGTATTAAACTTTAAGATCTTATTATTCCTCGCTGCAAGAGAAATCAACTCAATTTGGTAATCCAGTATTCTTGGGTCCCTAGGTGGTATTGGCTCAGTGCTGTTGACCTCTTTATAGACCACTAGCACCCCTAACTGGTGGGCCGAGAATAATGGGGGTTTTATGCAATATCTTTTGGGAAGAAAATCAAAGCAGAAAGTCTTATCCCAGTTCTTAAAGCATTCTACTTTCTTATAGAGCAAGCAAATCTGTGTGCATATATGAACCATCATTCAGACAAAGTTGTCCGTTGTCTTCTCTCTCTTCTCGTGTACTATACTGAACTGATTGATTGGTCCTTATTGGCTTTGCAGGAGAGGCCTAAATGGATGCAAATCAGTTCGCTCGATGAATTAAAGACGAAAGTGGGACATGTAATTGTTATGATCCTTCTAGTAAAGATGTTTGAAAGGAGCAAGATGGTCACGATAGCTACTGGTGTGGATCTTTTAAGCTATTCTGTATGTATTTTCTTATCTTCTGCTTCCTTATACATTCTTCATAATCTGCACAAGGCAGATTAGAGTTGGCCACAAATAGCTTCAGGTAATATGTATATTTTTTAAACTTGTATGGAAAAATAATGTAATACCAGTCCACAGCTTGGGATAAAGGTTAATGTCTGTCTTTGTAGCCACAGTTGCATGGCTCTTCACTAATGTTCTCTACTTAATTGATTGTAAATGGTCTCATTACAATGCTGTTACCGGATTTCCTCTTACCGAGCAAAACAATGATCTTAACGATACATAGAGCCAGAAAATCTGTAAATGTTGCGAATTTTATGGAGGATATCATTCTTTTATGTGCGAGTTTTTTTTTTTTTTTTTTTTTTTTATGGTTCAAAAAAAGGTGGGGACAAATGAGAGAATTTAGAGACCACCCTAATAAGCCCTCATTGGTGGGATAATGAATCCCCTGACTGCATCTGTTACTCTTCTGAGGAACGAATTTAGTTAGGTTAGCATAGCGGTCAATCACTAAGTTTCAATGTAGACTCTAAAACTTGAACCTTCAATATCAGAATGAAAAGTTTGACCGATTTTCTATTAAATTATCCCCCTCGGTGGTTTATGCATAAATGTTGACGGTTGATATTAGTAAACTTTGTTGACGATGCTACTTGATTTGTCATTGCATATCCTTCAAATTATGACACTTGTGTCATTTAAGTTCTTGTACTTTTTTTGTGTCAATTGAGCCCCCAAACTTTCTAATTGTATCTGCCTCCGTTAGATTTTCTAACAAAAAGCGGCGAAGTGTGTCACTCACTTGACACAAATTGTTGGAGCAAACCATACATATAACCCTTGTATCAATTAAGCCCCTGATTTATTTTTTTTGTCAATTGAGTCTCTAAACTCTTTAATTGTGACAATTAGACCTTTTGTCTTTTTATCATATAGTCACGTGAGTGACACACTCAAACAGAAGCAGATGAAAGACTCAATTGCCACAATTAGGGAGTTCAGCAACTCAATTAACCCCCAAAAAAAATATACAAAAACTTAATTGATACAAACATCATAGTTTAATAACAATACATATAATTTACTCGCAAATTTACATCGGCTCCTGCAAGCGTTTAAAGCGTTCAGAGGTAAGGAACTATGTAGTTGGTGTCCCATGGCTGGCTTGATCCTTACTGACTATTTTGTAATTGGAAAATAATATGTTTATCAAATTTTTTTACTAAATTTTTCATCTCAAATGATATGACATAATCTCCGTTATTTAATATTAATGAAACTCACCCATCTGATGGTGAAAAACAATGCCACATCATTTCCGAAGAAGATATAATAAAAAATTTAGTAATCATAATATTATCTTTTGTGAATAAATTACGCCCATCAATCTTGACTGACGTCGTTTTGCTATTTAGCACACACTTGTTGGTTCCGAAAGAGGGGCACCATCGTCAGACAGTTCAACATAATTGTNTGTGGTCCAGGGCTAAAAAAATAAAATATTTAGTTTTAGTAAATGGATGAACAATACAAAAATATATAGTTACTAGTATATTGGGTAGATTACATTATCTATCTATCTATCTATGTCCTATTATTAGTAATTGAAGAAGACTACTAGAGTTAATTATATCCTACACGGTACAAATTATCGGGTTTGCTAGAGACCTGGTGTCAGATACATGTACAAGAGGCAAAATAATACCCGTGGTCCGGTAGACCTGTTGAAAATGAAAACAAAAATTATTAATTTTGGCCCCTAAACTTCACATCAGATTTCAACTAAACTCTAAAGTTTTATCCTGTCTGAATTAAATTCTCCAACTATTTAAAATTTCCAATGTACCCCTTCTATCCAATTGCGCCATAAATTATAATAGATCAATTATACAAATGTTTTGTACAGCTATTCATGGACATTACTGTAATATGCAACCAAATACTATAATAATAATTAATGCATTTATAGGAAAGAAAGACACGCCAAAAAGAGGTGAAGAGAAACTCTAAGTGGGGGGCAACAAAACCTGGAGGGGGATATAAGAAGTCTTTTACGACTTTCTTGTTAAGAGAATCTAGGAAGAATCAAGAGTGACCAATTAAGGTAGCCTACTTGATTGATTTAATCATATTTGACAACAAACCAAATCACAAAGTATATTCTTGGGCATTGGTCATTTGATAAAAATAATGGGCATTTTTTGAGAAATTCATGGATTATTGAGATATATGTGAATGAAGGCTTGCGTACCAATGTGTAAGTAATAATACCTTGAGAAATTGCCAATACTCAACCTTTTTAGTGGGGGTCAAGTATTGCCCTAACTTTGGTGACCCGGTANTTATGTGAATGAAGGCTTGCGTACCAATGTGTAAGTAATAATACCTTGAGAAATTGTCAATACTCAACCTTTTTAGTGGGGGTCAAGTATTGCCCTAACTTTGGTGACCCGGTAAAGACCATATAACAATAAAAATGTAAAATTATGTTGTTTAAATTTGACTTTTCAAATAACACGGTTAAATTTTAACCATTCAATATTTTTCTGTCCCGCTTATTTGTTGATGATCCTAGTTCATTTGAGAAGAAAAAATTGGGCAAAAGACATGAGAAGCATAGCATGGTTGTAATACAAATCCCCCATCTCTCTCCCTCTCTTTCTATCCACCTCATTTTCATCCTCTCTCTCATGCATGACCTTTTCCAATCTCATATGTTGAAACTGTTAATGCATCATCATAGGACCANGTAAATCTTAACTATTCAATATTTTTCTGTCCCGCTTATTTGTTGATGATGCTAGTTCATTTGAGAAGAAAAAATTGGGCAAAAGACATGAGAAGCATAGCAAGGTTGTAATACAAATCCCCCATCTCTCTCCCTCTCTTTCTATCCACCTCATTTTCATCCTCTCTCTCTTGCATGACCTTTTCCAATCTCATATGTTGAAACTGTTAATGCATCATCATAGGACCAACCAAGAAACAAACTTAGTAAAAGGATAGTGGGAGTTCAAAAATACGATTTGGTTGGTCTGAGGATAGAGAAACTAGTGGGAGTGAGGGGGAATGGTTTGAAGTTGCACATGTAGTGCTAAGGGTCATAAAAATGTAACTAGGTTTTTTCTAGATCTAGATCCTCTCTAAAAGATTTCATTCAATGGTA